CCCACTTCCGCAAAACCCAAATAAAACCCTAGAGCAACTGCGTGCCTCTTCACTTCTGTGTCCTCGCCAGGGTGCTGAGCGGTGGAAGGCTGGCTGTCTTCACTGGGGTCCCCTCTGTGGAGTCCAAGAGGGCTGACAGACCCTACCCTTTCTTCACAGAGATGGGGAGACTGAGGCCCAAGTTCACATGCAGAACAGTCAGAGCTAGGAGAGGCACTCCCTGAATCCCAGGGCTCTTGTCTCACCTGGGGTGCCAAACATACTCGGAAAGGCTGGGGAGGCCACACGTGGACCCAGGACAAGGGCCCTCTGGGCCCCCACACCCCAACTTGGAGGCCAAGTCTATGTGTATTTCAAAATAGACACTTGGGAAGGAGTTCCACAAGCTGATACTATGAGCTTCTAAGAGCAAAGTTCTAGGTGAGGTCTGTGAAAACGAGTTTATGTGGAATCCCCCAGCGGTGCCCTCCACCAATCCTGTGCCACAGTAAAGCCCACCTCGCTCCCGGAGCCGCCTTGGACCCCACGCTGGCCCTCGCTCTGGCCGGGGGCCGTGGGACCTCACCGCGGGCTCCACACTCACCGAGCCTCTCCAGCCTCCAGCGCTGGTGTCACAGAGCTTCTCTCCAGCAGCCCCAGCTCCCCAGGCCTCAGGGCCATTGGCACACCTGCCCCCACCTTGCAGAAGACCCCTGGCCTCACGCCACTAGCCCAGCCCTGTTTCCCAGGGCCTTGGTTTCCTCTTGAAGGGACCCACTTTTTCTTTATCCTCCCGAGAGAGAACTGCCCATGGCATCACCACAAATCCACTCGGTAGGCTGCTCCTCCCCTGCAGCATCTGAGATCAAGGACACACCTGCGCACACCCAGGTGCCCTCCTGCCTCTCACACCAGAGGCCGCTTTTCATTTTTAAACTTTTATTTAAATGTAGACTATTAGTCAAATGATTGGAAAATCAATAATGAAAAATAGTGTTTGGGTTCTTCTCCTGGTTACAGTGGCGCTTGCACTGTCGGGGGAACATGGCACTCCTGTGGGTCGAGGGTCAGCTCGAGGGAGCTCAAGGGAGTTCAAGGGGTCATCTGAGGCCATGTGGGTGGAGGGGCTGTGCGGCTGGCCTGGCCCCCAGGGTACTCAGGGAAGACCACCAGCTCCCTCCTCAGGCTCGGCTCCCGGGGGGGTCCAGCTCTGCTTGGGCTCCTCCGAGGAGGCCCCGTCCCATATCCTGCCCCATCATAAATATGTACAAACCCCTGGACAGTCTGGGGCACCAGGCCCGGGCAGAGCTGGGGTGCCTGTCCCCACGCCTGCAGCATGGCGACTCTCTCAGGGCGGGTGCCGCCCTCCTCCCGACCCCCACCTCTCTGGTCCCGTGCTCTCAGGCGGCGGCCAGCTGGCCCAAGACCCGGCGGAACTGCTGGGTGCTATGCCCCAGCTCCTTGACCCTGTCCACCATGTCCTGGGCGGCGGCGGGTGACGGGTACTGCAGGGCGGCAGCCTTGGTGGTGGCGACGATGCCACGCAGGAGGTCACACAGCAGGTTGCTGTAGTGGGTCACCTGGCTGCGCACGTCGGCCGCCTTGGCCTGCCGTGACAGCGTGTCCCCGATGAACACCAGCTTGTGGGCGCTGAGGATGACGAACTTGCTGTGCGCCACGAAAATCTTGGGCGGCTGGTTGGTGGCCACGGCGGTGAAGAAGGCGTCCACAGCATTGGTCAGGGTGGTCAGGTTCGCCTCGCACTGCTCCAGGTAAAAGAGCAGCAGCTGCCGGTCCGAGGGCCCCAGGCCGCCCGGCCGCCCTGGGGCCAGGGGCTGGGCCGCCGTCCAGTTGGCCAGGTCGTGGTCGATGGGCCGCGACACCTCCTGCTCCAGTCGCTCAAACTGCTTCAGCTGGGGCAGAGGGAGAGCAGAGTGAGCATCGCAGCCACACGCACAAAGGAAACCCGCTATCTCTGCGCTACAGGCCGCGCACGGGTCCCCTCCAAGGAGCTTCTGCCCATCTCAGAAAGGTAGGATTCCATTTACAGAACAGTTTTGAAATGACAGAAGGATAGAAACGGAGAACAAATGAGCAGTTGTAGCGTTTCGGGACGCCAGTCTGTTGGTGTGGGTGCTGTTCCCTGCTGCCTTAGGACACAATCCTTGGGGGACACTGGGTGAAGGACACACAGGACTGTTCTGTACTCTCTCTGCAACCTCCTACGAATCTATGCGTACTTCAAAATGAGTTAAAAACACATACACACACACACACACTCACACACATTTTTGTCCTTAACATATACGTTGTAAAAAGATTCAAATACATTAAGCAGAAAAAAAAAAGGTGTCACCTGGAAACCCACGCACCCAGAAATAACCTCTGATAAAGTACAATTCTGGTAAATTATCTTTCTGTGACACGGGGCTCGATCCCATAACCCTGAGATCATGACCTGAGTCAAGATCAAGAGTTGGACGCTTAACCAACTGAGCCAACCAGATGCCCCTATAAATTATTTTTTACAATCAAACATTAACGTATTTACAGATGATATGATATAATGTCTCCAAAATAAATTGGGGGGAAGGGGTGCTAGATAACCAGGTTAGCTATTGTGCTGAGGGATTGGGGCTGGGTGAATGGTATCGGCACTGTCTTCTTTAATTTTATAAATATATTCAATTTCCCACAATAAAAACTTTAAACAAAAAAAGAAAGCGCTGGCTGGCTTAGCTGGTAGGACATGCGACTCTTGATCTCGGGGTTATAAGTTCGAGCCCCACATTGGATGTAGAGATTACTTAAAAAAAAAAAAAAAAAGAAAAGAAAAAAGGTAGGTCATGGTATGTGTAAAACTTCAGAAAACAAAATTCACATAAAAAACTGGTGACTATTCTTCAAGATGTTTTCCTTTAAACATGAATATTCCTATTTCCTTTTTATTTTTTTATTTTTATTTCCTATTTCCTTTTTAATTAGTAGACTGGAAACACAGTACATGTGACTCAAGAACATGGGGTTTATGGGCACCAACTCACTATGCAATCGAAAATGTGCAAGTAACTTCTGATTTCTCAAAAACTTAACTACTCACCAATAGCCTACTGTTGACTGGAAGCATTACCAAGAACAAAACTAGTTGATTAACATGTATTTTGCAAGTTACATGTATTATATACTGTATTCTTACAATAATAATTTTTTCAGTATTTCTAGGCTATGTGGTTCATCTGCAAGTTTTTTCAAATTGTTTTAAGTCTCCAAAATACTTTTCCAATATGTTTATTGAAATAAATCCAGGTGTAAGTGGATCCATGCAGTTCAAACCCGTGTTGTGCAAGACTCAACTGAAAACATAGTATTTTATATTCTACTGTTAGCACCTAACAGTAGGTCACATGCTTCGTGTCAGTCATGACAGGAGGCGGGAAAGGGAAACTTCTACAACGGGCAGCCCCTGCCTTGGGAGTTATCAGCGTGGACTGACGTGTCCTTACCAGCGCTGGTTCTGCCCAGGGGACTAAGCGGCTGGGACCAGCTGTGCACAGATTCAGGGAAAGACAAGTTCTATTTTACCCAAGATTTCAAGGCTTAATTGGCTAAACCACCCTGGAACCGCCCTGTCCGAATATCTGAAACACTCGGACTTTCCTCCTCAGGCAGCAACCTGGTGAAACTCACCACTCGGCTCTCATATCCAGCGAGAAGCACACTCATTTTTAGTTGAAACTCTGCAGGGTCTTTCCTGTTTTCTGACAATTCTTAATACCTACATACTGTTCTACTGTATGAATGTTTATATTTTATTTAATCAACCAGTATTCCAATATTAGATATTTGGGGTGGGGGTTTCTAAATCTTTCACTGATGTGGAAACAGAGCAATCAACACCCTTGTCCATACATTTTACCTGCCATATTATACTTGTGCTTTATGCTCTGGCCTAAGAGCTCTAGACCTTTAGAGTTTTTCATCTATACTCCTATCTCTTATTCTAGCTTCTAGTAATTTCTCTAAGTGATCAAGCAGTTACATGAAGAGATTTATATTCAGCTCAGCACCGTTTACAGAAGTAATAACTGACATGTCCACCAACAAGGGACTGGATAAATAAATGCTGGAAGGGTCCAGAGAAAGATAAAGTACATGTTCATTTCTCTGATCAGTGGAGATTCCGTATATTATTAGGCAGACAGACAGATGATGGATGGACAGAGAGATACCTAATAATTACCCTTGGTTCCTTTACTGAGTACATTATATGGGCCAGGCACTTCCTAAGAATTATACATTCTTTACTCACTCCTTAAAATTACTTTGAGATGGATATAACTATGATCCCCACTTCACAGCTGGGGAAACTGTGGCTTTGTGGGTCTCAGGATGGAGCCGGCTCTCACCTACACCATCCTTCCCCCTGACTGGTGGAGG